CTCAGGCCAACACTGCTGATATCTTCACTAAGGCACTCGCGCCTTGTGATCATCAGCGCTTCTGTACTCAGTTAGGTCTTGTGCCTACCTTGCCTCACTTGCTCACTTCTTGACCTTGCTTGTACTGTTACATATATATATACCTGCTCTTGCTTGTTTAGCGTTATATATATGTAATCTTGCATGTGAACTGGCCTTGTGGCCTTGAACTTGTGCTCAGAATGTGTGGTGACGTTGTGATCCACCCTGAGCTTCCTTTGCTTGACTGGTCTTGTGACCCCTTGTTCTCCCCCACTTTGCCTATGGGGTTGTGTCAAACTCATATACTATAGTCTGTGTAGGCTGTAGTGGGGTAGCTTACATGGGGTACAACACTTTAGGGTTTGGTACTTGTACTCCTCATGCTGCTCAATGCATTCATTCTCGTTCTCATTTTCACAGTTTGTCCTCTCTGTCTGACCGTTGGTTTGCGGGTGGTATGACAACGCGAACCGCGGAATGCGGATGATGTGCTCCTTACTCCTTACTCTGCTCATATCTCCTGCCAGAATTTTGACGTGAATTTCGGATCCCGACCACTGATGATCGCCGAAGGTTAACCGTGTAGGCGTACGACGGTGGAGATGAACAGTTTCATAGTTTTTTTTTGTTGTGATCGTCGTTCGACATGGCGCAAAATGCGCCCTTTTCGTTAGTCGATCAACGACGACCAGTACTGAGTTGTTGCCACTTGCGCCAGCAAGTAACACTCTGACGAAATCCATCGTGCCATGGTCGTTCGGGTGGCTCGAGGGGCTGCAGCAATCCAGCTGGGCGTTGTTGTCGCGATGACTTCATGGCTTGGCATGTTGGGCAAGCTCTTACGTAGCGCTGCACGTCCGATGCCATGTCGGGCCAATACTAATGCCGTTGCAGCAACTTCAGTGTTTTTTCGATGCCGACATGCCCGGAGAGGTTGGAGTCATGAACCTCATGCGTCAGCAACTCACGTAAGGGTCGGTATAACGAGACCCAAACTCGGTTCGTATCGACTTTTAGGTAATATTTCCCATGTGGCGTGGTGATCCGGAGGTTTTGATTCTTCCTGAAGAAGCGGTTGGTTCTGTATTCGTGGGCGAACAGTCCCGATAAGAGCGGGTTGGAATGGGCGATTAGTACTGCTGCGGTCTGCATTGTTGGGTGGGTCAGGGCGTCGGCGATGTTATTGGCACCCTTCTTGTACGTGATGGTATAGCGGAAATTTGACTCCACGTAGTCGAGCCACCTGATTTGTCGCGGGTTGAGCTGTGGTTGGCTGCGCATGTACTGTAATGGCTTATGGTCTGTCCTGATCGTAACGTCGGCTCTCGTGAGGTAGCAGCGCCAGGTACAAAATGCATGCACGATGGCGAGCATTTCTTTGTTGTGTATAGGGTAGTTGCGCTCAGGTGGCTGCATTTTACGTGCCTCGTACGCGATTGGTTGCAGTCTGTTGCCGAAATCTTGTAGAAGGACGGCGTTGATGGCAAAATCGCTGACGTGCGTCACAACTTCGAACAGTCAATATGAATATGCCAGCCGAAGTACCGGGGGCAAACCCAAAATTCTTTTGAGCTCGTCGAAGGCCAACAGCTCCCCCCCCCCCCCCCCCCCCCCCCACCCCCCCCCCACAGAAACAGCGCGCCTTTGTGCAGAAGATCTGTCAACGGCTTGGTCACCCCCACCATATTCAGTTCAAAACGGCGGAGATAGTTAACGAAGCCGAGGAAACTCTACGACTCCGTGATGTTCGTAGGCGGCTTCCACTGTGAAATTGTTGTCACTTTGCGAGGGTCAATTTTAATACCCTCCCCTGAAACCACGTGGCCAGGAACTCCAGCTCCGGCTGTAAGAACTCGCACTTAGAGCCCTTCGTAATCAGTCGGTTCTGCTGCAATCGCCGAAACACCTCCTCCAAATCCCATAAATGGTCCTCCCGAGTCTTGTTGTACACTAGGATGTCGTACAGGTAAACGATAACTTTTTTGTCGAGCATGTTCCGGAACACCCCGTTCATGGTCAGTTGGAAAGTTGATGGTGCGTTCGTCATCCCAAACAGCATTAATGTATACTCGTAACTGCCGTAGCGGGTGCGAATTGCAGTCTTCGAGCAATCGTCGGCGAATACACGAATTTGATGGTAGCCACCTCGCAAATCGATTTTCGAGAAATGACGAGCCCTGCGAAGCTGATCCAGCAGGTCGTCCGCTCGCGGAATCAGGTAACACGACTTAATCGTGATCCGATTCAGCGCTCGATAGTCGATACACATGCGCAGACCTCTGTCCTTCCTCAGTGTGAACAGTATCGGGGGGGCGAATGGTGACGTGCTCGGCCGGATAAAACCTTTTGAGAGCAGATAATTTAACTGCTTCCGCAACTCGTCGAGCTCCGGTTGGCTGAGCCGCCACTAGGACCGAACAGTTGGTTGCGCGCCAGGTTCCAGCTCGATCCTGTGGTCTTCTGGTCGCTGAGGTGGCAGCCCATTGGGAAGGTCGTCTACGAAAATTTCGGAGTACCTCCGAACTATGCTTGCCACGTCGTCAGGTACAGCAGCGCAGAGCGTGTCAATGTCGGCGATTTTCTCGGACGCAGCCACCTCGTATAGCTGTGCGGCGTAGCCTTGCGCTCCCCTTTTTATCACCCTTGTTAGCATGACGTGTCGTAATCAGCTCCGCCTTCGTCCATTTTGGAAGTGTCACGCGCCCTTTGATGCCTGGTGCCGTGCATGCTTCCGTCGTCCAGTCGACCGTCGGATTCAATAGCTGCAGCCAGTCTCGCCCCAGCACATCGCAACCGTCCAGTCTTGCCGCCAGCATCTTCATCGAAATCCTCGCTACACTTCAACCGAATTTGTCGCACCTCGTCCCGTATTGCCAGTGGTGTCCCATCCACCAGTCTTGCGTCGATCTCCGGAAAACACCTGTCCAGCTTGACTCCGATTTTTTTGGCCGTTGACAGATTGATGCGGCTGCGACTAGCCCCTCTGTCAACGAATATTTTTATTTTATACCCATTAACCCTCCCCACGACCAGCACAGGGTGATCCACGTGTTCATCCACTTTATTCGTCCGGTTGCGGTCGATAGCCCGTATCGGTACCACCACTCGGTGTGGATGTTGATTGCCGGGCGACGGGGTCTCGTCAGTAGGTGGCCCGACTGCTACTGACTCGTCTTATTCCCGACCCCTCTCTGTCGTTCCTGTTTCCCTGCTTCAGCTTCGGGCAGTCTTTTCTCCAGTGGCCCGGTTGGTTGTAATTAAAGCACGGCCATGAGGCTCGTCTAGGCGCATCCACACCGTTGATCGTGGGCTGTTGAGGCGATCCACGAAAATGACCGCCCTCCCGGGAACTCATTCCCGCCCACTGCATCAGCACATCCATTGATTCGGCCAGCTGGACAGCATCGTTGAAATCGCGCGGCCTCGTTCGTCGCATCTCGTACTAAATTTCGTACTTGAGGCCTGCGACGTATTTGTCGAGCCTCTCCGTGTCGCCCATGTCGTCCACTTGGTTGGCCAAAGAGCAGAACGTTGTTGTGCAATCTTGGACCGATGTCAACTGCTTCATGCGAGTAGAATCCGAGGCGGATACGTGCTCGAATCTAGTTCGCATGGCTGTGCCCAACTCCGTCCATATGCGTATCGTGGCCACTCTGAAGACTGAGGTTGCTCGTTGCGTGACAGTTGTCCAGGTCCCGTCGTTCGCACGTGATATCCCTGCCGGAGTCCACTCTGACTGTAGTGTGTGTCGTCACCACTCCAATGCTGGTCCCCGTAACAATGACACTGCAAAATTGATGCGGGTGGCATCATCAGCAATTTGGACAGGATTGAAGAAAACCTCCACGCCGAACAACCTTGCAGACACAGTAACATTCTTGTCGCTAGGATTGAACAGGGACAAGTTTGTCGGTTTAATATTGACAGTTGTAGAAACTGCTGCTGCCGCATGCACCGTCGGTGCCGTCGAAGCCATCGCCGAAGTTGTCGCTGATGCCCATTGTGGCACTGTTTGCGACTGTTGTCTCGGCGTTGCTCATGACTGTTGCTGCTGCTCCGGCGCCTCCTGCGACTGTTGCTGCCGTGTCCGCCATTCATCTTCAGCGTCCACTGAGCCTTCCAGCTCGCTGAAAGCGTCATCGTTCAATGATGCGCTACTGCTCACTTTGTCCTCGACGAGCGGCACCTAGCGCGCTTCACCTCGCGCTTGGCGTAGCTCGGCATTTTCCTCCCTCAGGCGTTCGACCTGTCAGAATCCCAGCCACTCACCATTAGGATAAAAGGGCTAATTTGTGTAGCAGGTGAGTGCGCCCATAACCCCCTAGGCCAACGTGCCTGTAACCCTTCCCTAGGATCAATCGGGAATCTCCAGTGGACCTCTAACACGACCTCCCCAAAATTAGTTTGCAAGTTGGCCTGCATCGCCCGCAATTGTTGCATGAACGCGTCAATCTCGGCCTGATTCATGTTTCTCAAGCTTCGCCTAACGGGTAGGGGGTTTACAGCGATTTTAATGACTTTGATGAAGGCGCAAACCCTAATGTATATGTATTCGGAGCGAAATAATTGTTTCTATTTCTCAGCCGACCGCTTTGCAGCCCACCAAATCTATCGCACCCCGTCGCTGAACTAGCATGGAAACGCTAAGGTAACCTGTGAAAGTAGCTCTAAAACCAAGTATTATGAGTTGTAAAAAAAGAGAGCGCGCAAAATGCAATAACGTGAAGTGATTATAACTATTGATCAGATAATGAGACCTAGCATCGATATAGCGAAGGCTAGCTAGGCCGAGGCCGCGGGACCGCGCATGGTCGGGTGCAGGTTTGGGGTTGGAAAACCCGAAGGCGACACGAGAGACGTTCGCAAGGCGAGGTGGTCGGACCGAGCCTGGCATTCCGGAAATTGGAGTTGTACGCGTATGGAGTGCCCCGGTAAGGAATTACGGTACGCAAAATTCCTTATAGAAGAACGCGGGAAACATGAAATACCCACCATGTGTTCACGTGTTTGGGTCTGGCATATGTTACCATTGTAACATGGTATCGATCTAGATCGATTCGTTGGGCCCACCGCCCCGTGCCCCGCCAGATCCCGTAGCGCCCCGTAGCCATAAGCGCCCCGTACCCGCAGCGCCCGTGTAGCTCGCGCCCCCGTCCCCTCCCCGTCGCGCCCCCGTCGCCTCCCCGCTACCTCCCCACTACCTCCCCGTCGCCTCCCGTCGCCTCCCCGTCCCCTTCCCCGTCGCGTCCCTGTCACCTCCCGTCCCCTCCCCGTTCGCCTCCGCGTCGCATCCCCGTCGCCTCCCGTCGCCTCCCCGTCCCCATCCCCGTCGCGTCCCCGTCACCTCCCGTCCCCTCCCCGTCGCCTCCGCGTCGCATCCCCGTCGCCTCCCGTCGCCTCCCCGCCCCCTTCCCCGTCACGTCCCCGTCACCTCCCGTCCCCTCCTATGGTTCGTGAGCGAATGCGTCAATCGCCATCGTGACGTGGGAAACGCAAACGGGAGGAGCAACGGCAAACGGGAGGAGCAACGGCAAACGGGGTGTAGATATGTCATCGCCGACTGCAGCGACAGTGGCGCGGCGACGGCGCGGACCGAGTGGGCCTCGCGCGGCATCGCCGCCCCCTGGAACAGGTACGCCATTGCCGTGGCGGCAGCAGCAGCGCTGGTGGCACGCACGCCGCTATTCGACTCTATAGAACGTGGCAGGGGCTCTTATTCGCTCGTGATCCTACTGTGTCACGTGTCCTCCCTGCTTCATGCGTGCTGCTCCCATTCCAAGCCATTGCCTTCCCCCGCCATTCAAGTCCACCGGATCACACCACATCGTCCCCCGTCCACCTCCGGGCGTCCCACCCCCCCAGCATCGCGGTGGGTTCAGCAACGCGCGCTCAAGGCGGCACTGCTGGCGGCGCTGGGCGCGGCGTGCTGCATCGCGTTTCTGCGCGCCGGCCTGCCATTTCGCGATGAGTCCACGCACACAGACGAGGACCCCTTTCTCCAAGTAATTGCTCATCTCTCTTCACTCGCCTGCGCACAACCCCCCATGTTTCCATCTCCTTCCCCTCCCCTCCTCCCGTCCCATGTGCAACCCTCTCCCCACTCAGCCGCACATCTCCCCCTTGTGCCCCATCTCCCCTCTCCTGGGGGAGAGGCGAGATGGGGCAACCCTCTCCTCCCCTCCCCTCCTCCCGTCCCATGTGCAACCCTCTCCCCACTCAGCCTCACATCTCCCCCTTGTGCCCCATCTCACCCTTGTGCCCCATCTCCCCCTTGTGCCCCATCTCCCCCTTGTGCCCCATCTCCCCCTTGTGCCCCATCTCCCCCTTGTGCCCCATCTCACCCTTGTGCCCCATCTCACCCTTGTGCCCCATCTCCCCCTTGTGCCCCATCTCCCCCTTGTGCCCCATCTCACCCTTGTGCCCCATCTCACCCTTGTGCCCCATCTCACCCTTGTGCCCCATCTCCCCCTTGTGCCCCATCTCCCCCTTGTGCCCCATCTCCCCCTTGTGCCCCATCTCCCCCTTGTGCCCCATCTCCCCCTTGTGCCCCAACTCCCCCTTGTGCCCCATCTCCCCCTTGTGCCCCATCTCACCCTTGTGCCCCATCTCACCCTTGTGCCCCATCTCACCCTTGTGCCCCATCTCACCCTTGTGCCCCATCTCCCCCTTGTGCCCCATCTCCCCCTTGTGCCCCATCTCCCCCTTGTGCCCCATCTCCCCCTTGTGCCCCATCTCACCCTTGTGCCCCATCTCACCCTTGTGCCCCATCTCACCCTTGTGCCCCATCTCACCCTTGTGCCCCATCTCACCCTTGTGCCCCATCTCACCCTTGTGCCCCATCTCACCCTTGTGCCCCATCTCACCCTTGTGCCCCATCTCACCCTTGTGCCCCATCTCACCCTTGTGCCCCATCTCCCCCTTGTGCCCCATCTCACCCTTGTGCCCCATCTCCCCCTTGTGCCCCATCTCACCCTTGTGCCCCATCTCACCCTTGTGCCCCATCTCCCCCTTGTGCCCCATCTCACCCTTGTGCCCCATCTCACCCTTGTGCCCCATCTCACCCTTGTGCCCCATCTCACCCTTGTGCCCCATCTCACCCTTGTGCCCCATCTCACCCTTGTGCCCCATCTCACCCTTGTGCCCCATCTCACCCTTGTGCCCCATCTCACCCTTGTGCCCCATCTCACCCTTGTGCCCCATCTCACCCTTGTGCCCCATCTCCCCCTTGTGCCCAATCTCACCCTTGTGCCCCATCTCCCCCTTGTGCCCCATCTCACCCTTGTGCCCCATCTCACCCTTGTGCCCCATCTCCCCCTTGTGCCCCATCTCACCCTTGTGCCCCATCTCACCCTTGTGCCCCATCTCACCCTTGTGCCCCATCTCACCCTTGTGCCCCATCTCACCCTTGTGCCCCATCTCACCCTTGTGCCCCATCTCACCCTTGTGCCCCATCTCACCCTTGTGCCCCATCTCACCCTTGTGCCCCATCTCACCCTTGTGCCCCATCTCACCCTTGTGCCCCATCTCACCCTTGTGCCCCATCTCCCCCTTGTGCCCCATCTCCCCCTTGTGCCCCATCTCCCCCTTGTGCCCCATCTCACCCTTGTGCCCCAACTCCCCTCGCCTCTCCCTTGGCTTCCTCGCCTGCCTCTGCGCCCATGATCTTGACGACAGGCGGACGAGGGCGTTGAAGCGGGCGGGGTGGAGGAGGATGGGTGGCCGGTGATGGGCGGGGTGAGGTGGAGGGGGTGTGCGGGACAAGCCACTGCACTGCCGGCTGCCATGGGTGGGCCATTACGCTCAACTCTCAAGCACGTGTGCCTGTAACTGTCACACGTGTAACAAGCGTGCCTATCACCTTTGCGATGCACCTGTGAAGTACAGCTGTGTGTGTGTGTTGTATTCCCCTCTTCCCTCCCGTGCTCGCCCTCTCTTCCATCTTCGCTCCAACTACCTCCTTTTGCTCTCCCATGCATGCTTTTCGTGCCAACCTGCCCGCCATCTGCTCTGCTGTGTGCGCAGCGGGCAGAGGAGGGGAGGGCCAGGGGGGCTATCTGCTGGTGCAGCTGGCAGGGGGACTCAACCAGATGCGCGCAGGGGTGGGTGGGGGCCTCTCAACCTCTCCTCTCGTTTCCCAGCCTCCTTCTCATGCTTGCTCCTTCCCGCCCCTGCTCTCACTCACGTTCTCCTCACCTGTTGCTTTGCTGCCCTGAACAGTTACCCTGCACTTCTCCCCAACCCCTCCACCCTCCTTCCCCCACTTCCCCTCACTCTACCCCTTTTCCCCCTGGGCCTCCCATCCCTTTACCCCCTGACCCCCCTGCCGCTCCCCCATGGGGGAGCAGATCTGTGACGCGGTGGTGGTGGCGAAGCTGCTGGGGGCGTCGCTGATGCTGCCATTGTTGGATAACTCCTCCTGGTGGGCCGACGGCAGGTGAGGCCCATTCCCTTACCTCCCTCATTCATTCCCCTACCTCCCTCATTCATTCCCCTACCTCCCTCATTCATTCCCCTACCTCCCTCCCACCACCCACATCTGCGCTTCCTTCCTACACGTCCCACCCCACTTGCTCTCACCTTGAACGTCCCCCACCACCCTCCCGCCCCTGGCAGCACATTCGCGGACGTGTTTGACGCGGGGCACTTTGCCCGCGTGCTGGCGCCGTGGGTGCGCGTGGTGGACCGCCTGCCCTCTGCGCTGCGCCACCGCCCCCCCCTCGAGCGCACCGTGCCACGCGGCTCCACTGCTGAGTACTATGAGACACGCGTCAGAGCGATGATCAGGTGCCGTGCCATGCCAGGCTGTATGAGTAAAATTGGCTGTGGTGATAGCGCTGCTGCTGATGGCACTGACACGGATTCATTGAAAGCACATTATGGTGCAATTAGGCATTACTTTTCGTCCTGGCGTCATCCACTGTTCCTATCCTTTCTCTGTTTTCTCCCTTCCTGCCTCAGTCACCCCCGCCTACTCTACTACTGTCCCTGCCCTATCCCATGCGTCATGCTCTGCTCTCTCCCGTCCCCCTGCCCCGTGTGTACTAGGCAGGAAGGCGCAGGTGCTGAAGCTGAACCATTTCGATTCAAGGCTGCATGACCAACTACCACTGGACCTGCAGAAGGTACCACCTCGAAAACCAACTATCTGTCTTTCAACATTCGGTGTTTCTCCTTTCCGTTCTCTTTCCAAGCACGCTTACGAGTTCAGTGGTACAGGTACCACGATACAGAGATTGCACCGTGCCCATGTTGACTACCCTTAGGAACCGTGGCCTGATTGCACGTTGGTAAACCACGTGGCTTCTCACCCACTCTACCCATCATTCCCCTCTCCTGCCACCGTTTCATTCCCCCCTCCTCCTCCCCCACACACCCCTGTCTCCCCCATCTTCCCCCGCCTCCCCCCCCCCTCTGTCCCCCCCTGGCAGCTGCGCTGCGTGGCAAACTACGAGGCGCTGCGCTTCGTGCCGGTGGTCACGCAAGCCGTCACGCGCCTCACGCACGCCCTCACCCACCCCTCCGCCACGCCCGCCTCCACTGCCCTCGACCCCGCCGCACATGCTGCTCTCCCCACCGCTGCTGCTCAGGCTCGCCGTGCTGCCGTGGGTGCTGCAGCAGCAGCAGCGCAAGGCGCACACGGGCAGGGGGGAGAGAGGGAGCAGGTGGAGGGAGGGATGCAGGCGAAGGGGAGTGGCGGGGCGGTCAAGTACGTCGCGATTCATCTGAGGTGAGGCGGACATGGGGGGTGACATGGGCATGGGGGGTGACATGGGCATGGGGGGTGACATGGGCATGGGGGGTGACATGGGCATGGGGGGTGACATGGGCATGGGGGGTGACATGGGCATGGGGGGTGACATGGGCATGGTATGAACTAGGAATGGGAGGTGACCTCTGTGGTTCTTACTATCCTGCATCCGGTATAGTTAACCTCACTCGATTGTGCCATATCCTTTCACTCTCCGGTGCCTTTTGTGTGTCTTTGCCACCTGTTGTTCAAGAGACTGTTTGCAACTTCCATCCATCCCGTGCCAAGCACGAGGCGCCATCCATGCGACTGCACATGGTGCAATCGATCCATCCCATGTGTTCCCTCCATACCATCCCATGCACAACATGCCGTACCATGCGCCTGACGTGCCACGCGCCTGACGTGCCACGCGCCTGACGTGCCACGCGCCTGACGTGCCATGCGGCATGGCAGGTACGAGCCGGACATGCTGGCGTTCACGGGGTGCGAGTACGAGGGGGGCGCGGCGGAGAAGGCACTGTTTGAGTCAATCCGACAGCGCTGGGCCAACCTGCCCGCCATGGACGCTGAGAAGCAGAGGGCCAAGGGCATGTGCATCGTCACGCCCTCCCAGGCATGTGCATGGTCACGCCCTCCCAGGCAAGTGCATCGTCACGCCCTCCCAGGCAAGTGCATCGTCACGCCCTCCCAGGCATGTGCATCGTCACTCCCTTGCATGCCATGCCATGATCTGCTTTTCTAGCCCATACCATGCCATGCGCCACTGAGCACATGGGCCACGGCAGTCGGCAGCATTGAGTGCAGCTCGCTCTCTGCCACTGTAATGCCACCCACTGCCACTGTAATGCCACCCATTGCCACAACCATCCACCCTCTCACGACTTTTCACAACCCCTCCCCCCCCTCTCCTCTGCATGCCCGTGTCCCCAGGTGGCACTGGCCTTGCAGGCGCTGGGCTTGCCACGGTCCACGCGCGTGTACATCGCGTCGGGGGCGCTGCACGGTGGGCCGGCGGCGCTGCAGCCGCTGCTGCGTGCCTTCCCCTTCACCACGGACAAGCACTCCCTCGCACACTCCCACGCCATGGCCCATGCCCGCACAGGGGGGCGGGACGATGACGACGAGGAGGGGGATGAGGCATGGGGTGCGGGTGGGGGCGGGAGCGGGGAAGAGGGGGTGAGGGGGGAGGGGGGAGGGGCGTTTGCGGGGTTGGAGGGGCGCAAGACGCTGCTGGCGGCGGTGGACTATGAGATGTGTCGGGGGGCGGCGCTGCTCGTCACTAACAACAATGGCAACATGGCCCACCTGTTAGCGGGCCACAGAAGGTGTTGCTGCCTGGGGGGGAGGTGCTGCCTGGGGGGAGTTGCTGCCTGGGGGGGAGGTGCTGCCTGGGGGGGAGTTGCTGCCTGGGGGGGAGTTGCTGCCTTGGGAGCATGCGAGCCTCACAAGCCTTTTGACTGCAGTTTGCCTCTTCTTGCTGTCCACAATAAGCCAACATTTCTCCCCCCCGCACACCTCTACAACACCAGCTCTCTTCCCCCCCCCCTCCCTCCACTTCTCCCCCACCTCATCCCCTTCGTTGCCGCATGCGCCCACGCATAGGTACGACGGTGCGGGCGGCACGGTGCACCTCTTTGGCTCCTCCATCCACCGCCTCCTTGCTGCCATCCAACATGGGGATCACGAGGCTTCTCAAAAGCTTCGCAATCGGCTGCTCAAGGGCGACCTTGGCAGTGAGGGGGAGAGCAATGAGAAGGCTGCAGCGAGAGGAGGGTTTTACGCATTTCCACGGGATTGTTTGTGTCAAGTCTGATTCTCCCGTTCCCTTCCATAGTGTTCCCAATTGATCGTGATTCTTGATGCGGAGCGTAATGGTTTGTCACCAATTCTTGCTGCAAGCGAGCACATGCAGTGGGTACCAGTCATCATGACAGCTTGAGAAAGTGCAAAAAAATTTGAGACAGGAGGATCACCAATTTAACAATTGACTTTAAAGGAATTTCAGAAACCCAAAGAACGGCTACAAGCAGAAGCTCTACTACTATTACACTTCACTTAGCAAGCGGCGACCGCGGAAAGAGCAGGGAAGATGGTAAAGAGCATGGGGGAGCAGAGGCATCTTGGTATTCAAAGGTAGCTGCACCATTGTTGATGATTGCACCATTAGAAGAACTGCTGCCAATGGAAGCATTGGAGGGACTCCCAGGGCAGAGGCACTGGCAGAACTGATCCGGGTCCATTGGGACGGAATCTGGGAGAGGGTAGTCTGGCAAGATGCCCACCTGAATGAGGGGTAAATAGGGTACAAGAGAAGACACTCCCCACGTCAAACAAAAGCTACAGTGAAAAAAAAAATATTCCATGAGGTCAAGAGCGCTCCCCAATCAACGCAACATAGGGAAAATCAGCATTTTATACATCGATGAAAAAAGGAAATTCCATTCACGGAAACTGGAAGCAGCCCCGACACAACCGCCTCCATCATGGGATTCTCTTAGACCGTGAGGTGGCAAGGCCAGCTTCAGACCGTGAGCATTTACACGACACAATATCAGAGTGCTCACCGATCTGGTGGGTAATAGCGAGCAACGGAATGCCACGAACAAGTCAGTCAAAACACAGTAGAGGGCCTTTCATCAGCCACCAGTAAGTCCCCAGCATCATTACCAGGCTCACTTTGTCATTGTTGGTGTGATCGAGGGTTTCATAGGGAGCAGTGGCAATCACCACACACGTCAATGCAAGACAGTAGACTCACCTTGCCAATGCTGGTGTGTAGACTCATCAGTACCGGCAAGCCCAACCTTGGGATCATCAGCAATCTCCCCCACCTTGTCAATGCTGGTGTGATCGAGAACTTCAATTTGTGCGATGGCAATCACCACACACGTCAGTCCAAGGCAGTAGTACTCCAGCAGCCATCAGCAAGCACCCCCTTGGGATCCTCAGAGAACCTTCCCCACCTTGTCCATGTGGGTGCGAATGAGGGTTTCATAGCGCTCAATGGCAGCCAATCACCACACACGCCAGTCCACGGCAGTGGCATTTCATCAATGCCAGCGAGACTCCCCTCCCCCCAATTTGGATCATCAGAAATAATTATAAACTTGGCAATATCGGTGTGATTGGGGGTTTCATATCGAAGAGTGGAACCTGCTGCTACACACATCAGTCCAGGACAGCACCTTTGGCATGCCAAGAATCCTGCCTCCTTGGCACCTTTGGCATGCCAAGAATCCTGCCTCTTTGGCACCTTTGGCATGCCAAGAATCCTGCCTCTTTGGCACCTTTGGCATGCCAAGAATCCTGCCTCTTTGGCACCTTTGGCATGCCAAGAATCCTGCCTCTTTGGCACCTTTGGCATGCCAAGAATCCTGCCTCTTTGGCACCTTTGGCATGCCAAGAATCCTGCCTCTTTGGCACCTTTGGCATGCCAAGAATCCTGCCTCTTTGGCACCTTTGGCATGCCAAGAATCCTGCCTCTTTGGCACCTTTGGCATGCCAAGAATCCTGCCTCTTTGGCACCTTTGGCATGCCAAGAATCCTGCCTCTTTGGCACCTTTGGCATGCCAAGAATCCTGCCTTAACACCATCCACGAGCAATCTGTCTCACCTTGTCAATGTCGGTGTGATCCGGGGTTTCATAGCGGGCAATGGTCACTGCGAGCCCTGATCCATCCGACAGCTCAAACACCGACTGGATCTTGCTGTAAAGGGTACATTTGGCAGGGAACGGATCGCAAGAGTAATGGGGAGGGAGAACTGGGAAAGTGTGGCAGACCCGAGAGAACTTGTTGGTTGGTTCGGTAGCAAGCCTCTCAACCCTTATCAAACAAGGACTGGAATTTTCTGTAACGAATACAAGTGAGAGAGCAGGGAAGGGAAGAGGGAGGGAAGGCAAGAGACAGCGAGTGCATGAGAGAGAAGGGAAGAAACTCGAAGGAGGGATATTTTTGGGAAATTGCTGTAAGGGGAGCAGAGGGAGGAGAGAAGCAAGAAAAACCCTGTTGGCTGGTTTGCTATGAAGCCTCGCATCCCTTTCACCAAGCCTCTGCCAGGCCTCCCTCTGCCAGGCCTCCCTCTGCCAGGCGTCCCTCTCGCTGGCAAACGAATGAGAATTGTACAAAGCCCATGTCACAGCTCTCACCCCTTGCCGAAGGTGGGCTCGCCAAACACGAGGGCGCGGTTGTTGTCCTTGAGCGCGCCTGCCAGGATCTCACTGGCGCTCGCTGTGCCCTTGTTCACCTGGTGGGAAGGGAGGGAGCCCAGGAACGGATGGGGAAAAGGTGGCGGGGAAGAGGGGTGGGAGAAAATAGAGGGTGAATCACTGTAAAGTGCAGCAGCCTCCTGAACCTGTTGTCCTTGAGCGCTCCTGCCATGCCAGCATCGCAGTGGCACTGGCAGTGCGCTTGTGCACCTGGAGTGAGGGTTGAAGCGGATGGGGAAGAGAGGGGAATAGGGGGAGGTGAATTGCAGAGAAAAGGAGCAGCTTAGCAGAACGCCACAGCTTCCCGTATGACCTTGAGAGCCCCTGCCATGATGTCACTGGCACCCGCACTGCCCTTGTCCACCCGCACTGCCCTTGTCCACCCGCACTGCCCTTGTCCACCCGCACTGCCCTTGTCCACCCGCACTGCCCTTGTTCACCCGCACTGCCCTTGTTCACCCGCACTGCCCTTGTCCACCCGCACTGCCCTTGTCCACCCGCACTGCCCTTGTCCACCCGCACTGCCCTTGTTCACCCGCACTGCCCTTGTTCACCCGCACTGCCCTTGTTCACCCGCACTGCCCTTGTTCACCCGCACTGCCCTTGTCCACCCGCACTGCCCTTGTTCACCCGCACTGCCCTTGTTCACCCGCACTGCCCTTGTCCACCCGCACTGCCCTTGTTCACCCGCACTGCCCTTGTCCACCCGCACTGCCCTTGTCCACCCGCACTGCCCTTGTTCACCCGCACTGCCCTTGTTCACCCGCACTGCCCTTGTCCACCCGCACTGCCCTTGTCCACCCGCACTGCCCTTGTCCACCCGCACTGCCCTTGTTCACCCGCACTGCCCTTGTTCACCCGCACTGCCCTTGTTCACCCGCACTGCCCTTGTTCACCCGCACTGCCCTTGTCCACCCGCACTGCCCTTGTTCACCCGCACTGCCCTTGTTCACCCGCACTGCCCTTGTCCACCCGCACTGCCCTTGTTCACCCGCACTGCCCTTGTTCACCCGCACTGCCCTTGTCCACCCGCACTGCCCTTGTTCACCCGCACTGCCCTTGTTCACCCGCACTGCCCTTGTCCACCCGCACTGCCCTTGTTCACCCGCACTGCCCTTGTTCACCCGCACTGCCCTTGTTCACCCGCACTGCCCTTGTTCACCCGCACTGCCCTTGTTCACCCGCACTGCCCTTGTTCACCCGCACTGCCCTTGTTCTCCCGCACTGCCCTTGTTCACCCGCACTGCCCTTGTTCACCCGCACTGCCCTTGTCCACCTGGAGCGGACTCGAGCGGGGGAGAAAAAGGCGGCAATAAAAAGGGAGAGGGAACGATAGGAAGGTGAATTACAATGAAGAAAACGCTCAGGGTGAAACTTCCTGCAGCTGTTGTCGTTTCCTTGAACGTCCCTGCCAGAATCTCACTGGTGGTCACTCACTGTGCCCTTGCTCACCAGGGGGGTGGGGAAGGGGGAGGAACTGGGAAATATGGATCAAGGAGGAAACGCAGGTGAGAAAAGTGATGCAGCTCACTACACATGTTGCCCTTGTTCACCTGGGCTGGGACAAGGGCAATGGGGCGGTACAAGGGCAATGGGGCGGTACAAGGGCAATGGGGCGGTACAAGGGCAATGGGGCGGTACAAGGGCAATGGGGGGGCAATGGGGCAGGGGGAGTGGGACTGACCAGCACGGCAAGGGGCTGAGAGGTGGCGATGGCGCCCTCCCCGTTGGTCTCATACACGTCCCGCACGCCCAGGCTGTCCGTGATGTATACCAACACGCCCTTGTTGACCCTGCGAGGCGGGGCAAGAATCAGAGAGGGAGGAGGAAGAGGGGGGAAAAGAGCCAGGAGACCTGGTGGACTGGTGAGTCACGTCTCACACGCCCCACACCCCCCAATGATGTCCGTGATCGAGACGAGCACCAGGTTTTTTTAGCATTGGTAGAAGAGATGGAAGAGTGTGACACGAGTAAACATGGATCACTGCCCACATGGCATTGCGCCCACATAGCATTGCGCCCACATGGCATTGCGCCCCTCCAAGAAGCCCATTTGTTGAGGATCTGAACACCGAACATGAAGTCGGATGTGACTCCAACCTTATAGCTTGCCCTGGAGCACATGCGTGCCTCGATCTAGAAATTCTTATGTAAAGTTAAAAATCTACCTGCCTCAGCTTGAACCTACCATCCCGATGCCCCACAGCTCACCACATCTTGGCAATATCAATAGCAGACGGGAACAGCCCTCCACTGTTGTTGCGGATGTCCAGAATGAAGGCCGTGGCCCCCTCCCCTGTCAGCTGCTCCAAGGCCTGCCTGAGAGCACCTGGTACAAGGGATGGGAAGGGATGGAGAAGGATAGAGAGCGATAGAGAGGACTGGGTATAAGGAGGAGAACAGCCCTCCACTGTTGTTGCGGATGTCCAGAATGAATGCCGTGGCTCCCTCCCCGTGTCAGCTGTTCCATGGCCTGCTTTAAAGCGCCTGGGGAGGGGTGGAGAGGGATAGAGAGGGCTAGAGAGGGGAAGTGGAAATACACAAGGGGATGTCCAGAATTAAGGCCGTGGCTTCCTCTCCAGTCAGCTGCTCCAGTGGCTGCTTTAAGGCGCCTGAGGGAGGGATGGGAGAGAGAGCACAGGGGTACAGGAGTGCACATAGGGGACACGTGCAGGTAATGGTAAGGGATACACGTGCAGGTAATGGTAAGGGATACACGTGCAGGTAATGGTAAGGGATGCACGTGCAGGTAATGGTAAGGGATGCACGTGCAGGTAATGGTAAGGGATGTGGGAAATTGATACTTGGATTATGAAAACGGGGGTATACATAGGTGAAGATGAGAAGGGGGGGGGTTGGATGCTAACCTAGGTTGGCATTATTGGACCCCAACCAATAAGTTGGGTTGGGTGATTATTGGTGGGGTCCAATAATGTTGGCCAAGTTGGGGTTGGGCCAACATTATTGGAGGGAGCCAATCATTCTACCCAACCCAACCTTTTGGGGTCCAATAATTGGACCAAGGTTGGGTTCCAACCTCTCAACCGGGTTACCCCTGGTTGTACACCCAAACTAAGTTTGGGTGCTTATCTCTAGCCTATCCTATAGCATATATGCAGGTTACAAGAGGAGAGGAATTCTAACAAGGGATACACGTGCAGGTAATGGTAAGGGATACACGTGCAGGTAATGGTAAGGGATACAAGTGAAAATCACATTCTTGGTTCAGTTCAGAGAAGTGGGTAGGGGAGTGGTTGCTTCTGGCAGAGGTGGAAGAGGTTTATAGGGAGCGTCCTGAATGAATGCCGTGGGCTCGCTCCCCTGACAGTTGCTCAATCGCCTGCCTTAGAGGGCCTGTAGTCGACATGATAAAAAACTCGAACCCCATAGTGCCAGAAACACAGAATTTACTCAGAAGTCACCTTGTTTTAAGTTGACACTCATTCATACAGTGACACTCATTCATACACTGACACTCATACACTGACACTCATTCATACAGTGACACTCATTCATACACTGACACTCATACACTGACACTCATTCATACAGTGACACTCATTCATACAGTGACACACTCACTAGAGGAGTTCTGGTTGAAGGTGGTCAAACGGTTGTACCCCACCCGCACCTTCTCCTCACTGCCTGCCCGCCTGCTGGTTGTTATAGACTTTCACCAACCAGTCACACTGACACATGCTGACACATGCTGACACACATACTAACACACGGACACATGCTGACACACATACTAACACACTGACACATGCTGACACACATACTAACACACGGACACATGCTGACACACATACTAACACACGGACACATGCTGACACACATACTAACACACGGACACATGCTGACACACATACTAACACACGGACACATGCTGACACACATACTAACACACGGACACACGGACACAAGTACACACATACTTGACGAGTTCTGTCTGGTTGAAGGTGGTCAAACGGATGTACCCCACCCCACCCACCCGCACCTTCTCCTCACTGCCTGCCTGCACCACTCCCACACCAGCACCACACCTACACACACACTGTCACACTTACTTGAAGAGTTCTGGTTGAAGGTGGTCAAGCGGATGTACCCCACGCGCACCTTCTCCTCACTGCCTGCCTGTGCCACACCCACGCCGCCACCTCCACCCTCCGCAGCACGGGTGACAGAGCTCCCAGTGCTGCCGAAGCTGCCTGCCGAACCATTCCCTGAGGTCAGGAGAGCCGCCGAGGCTTGCCGGGAGAGGTCGCAGGTTCGGAAGATAACCGGGTTGAGGGAGACCTGTTGGCGAGTGAGAGTGAATGTGAGCTCCTGTGGCTGCTGTTGACTCGGTTGACTTTGTTGACTCTGCTGCAGCCTGCCCCTCTGCTGGGGGAGTTGCTTGACTGCCTCGCCTCCTCTTTGCACGGTCAGCTCAACTCGGGAGTCAGCTGGTCCCCTGGTGAATAGGAGTGAAGAGGGATGAAAAGGGGTGAAGGGGGTTGACGACAGGTGGACAGGAATGGAGGGAGGCTAGGCAAAGGAAGCAACAGTAGCATGGAAGAAAATGTTAACCAGCAAACAGCCATATGGGCAACAAAGAGGATGTAATAGACAGTGCCACGGAAGGTTGGCCTTGCAAACTCATAGAAACGGAAACATACAGCGTACCTACCTGTGCCCAAAGAAACAGGATACCCCACTGGCATGTGCAATGAAAGACCCCAGAACCCTTCACAACTCCCCAGACACCCGCCCGGCCCGCTGGGCCCCCTGGCACGGGCGCCAGCACCACCAGCTGCCTGCTGCCTGCAAGGGACCAGCCATGCAAGGGACCAGCCGTGCAAGGGACCAGCCGTGCAAGGGACCAGCCGTGCAAGGGACCAGCCGTGCAAGGGACCAGCCGTGCAAGGGACCAGCCGTGCAAGGGACCAGCCGTGCAAGGGACCAGCCGTGCAAGGGACCAGCCGTGCAAGGGACCAGCCGTGCAAGGGACCAGCCGTGCAAGGGACCAGCCGTGCAAGGGACCAGCCGTGCAAGGGACCAGCCGTGCAAGGGACCAGCCGTGCAAGGGACCAGCCGTGCAAGGGACCAGCCGTGCAAGGGACCAGCCGTGCAAGGGACCAGCCGTGCAAGGGACCAGCCGTGCAAGGGACCAGCCGTGCAAGGGACCAGCCGTGCAAGGGACCAGCCGTGCAAGGGACCAGCCGTGCAAGGGACCAGCCGTGCAAGGGACCAGCCGTGCAAGGGACCAGCCGTGCAAGGGACCAGCCGTGCAAGGGACCAGCCGTGCAAGGGACCAGCCGTGCAAGGGACCAGCCGTGCAAGGGACCAGCCGTGCAAGGGACCAGCCGTGCAAGGGACCAGCCGTGCAAGGGACCAGCCGTGCAAGGGACCAGCCGTGCAAGGGACCAGCCGTGCAAGGGACCAGCCGTGCAAGGGACCAGCCGTGCAAGGGACCAGCCGTGCAAGGGACCAGCCGTGCAAGGGACCAGCCGTGCAAGGGACCAGCCGTGCAAGGGACCAGCCGTGCAAGGGACCAGCCGTGCAAGGGACCAGCCGTGCAAGGGACCAGCCGTGCAAGGGACCAGCCGTGCAAGGGACCAGCCGTGCAAGGGACCAGCCGTGCAAGGGACCAGCCGTGCAAGGGACCAGCCGTGCAAGGGACCAGCCGTGCAAGGGACCAGCCGTGCAAGGGACCAGCCGTGCAAGGGACCAGCCGTGCAAGGGACCAGCCGTGCAAGGGACCAGCCGTGCAAGGGACCAGCCGTGCAAGGGACCAGCCGTGCAAGGGACCAGCCGTGCAAGGGACCAGCCGTGCAAGGGACCAGCCGTGCAAGGGACCAGCCGTGCAAGGGACCAGCCGTGCAAGGGACCAGCCGTGCAAGGGACCAGCCGTGCAAGGGACCAGCCGTGCAAGGGACCAGCCGTGCAAGGGACCAGCCGTGCAAGGGACCAGCCGTGCAAGGGACCAGCCGTGCAAGGGACCAGCCGTGCAAGGGACCAGCCGTGCAAGGGACCAGCCGTGCAAGGGACCAGCCCTGCTCTGCTCCACACAGCCACGCCCCACCTCACCTGCACCCAAATCACCTGGACCACAGAACCTCAAAACCCACTAACCCCCCCCAAACCCGCCAAACCGCACCCAATATCCCCTGAAACTACCCCAAAACCACCTAAACCACTCCAAGACTTCCCCAAACAAACCCCACAGGACCGCACTCACTGCAACTTCTGTGCGGCGTCGTAGAGGCCAAGTCCCTCCACAGGCTCCCCATCCACCCGCACAATCACGTCCCTGGGAGCCACACCCGCGCGGTCCGCTGGGCCCCCAGGCACGGGCGCCACCACCACGAGGTGCTTGCCATCGGGGGAGAAGCCGAGCTCGAGGCCAACCCCCGTGAGCTGGCCCTGCGTGCCCGCCTTGAGCGAGCGGAACTTGCCCGGCTCAAAGAAGCGCGTGAAGGGGTCGTCCAGTGACGCCAGCATCTTGCGGATCGCCGCGTCTGCGGGAACATGGAGAAGGGGAAGGAAGACGGGATGTTAGAGTGGGGGGAGAGTGGGGGAATGGGGTTGATGTGAACTTGCTGTGCCTGTGCCTGTGCCTGTGCCTGTGCCTGTGCCTGTGCCTGTGCCTGTGCCTGTGCCTGTGCCTGTGCCAATGCCTGTGCCTGTGCCTGTGCCTGTGCCTGTGCCTGTGCCTGTGCCTGTGCCTGTGCCTGTGCCTGTGCCTGTCCAGTGCATGTGCCTGTGCCTGTGCCTGTGCCTGTGCCTGTGCCTGTGCCTGTGCCTGTGCCTGTGCCTGTGCCTGTGCCTGTGCCTGTGCCGGAGGGCGACTCCGGTGAGCTGGCTGGCCCTGCGTGCCGGCCTTGAGCGAGCGGAGCTTGCCCCATTGAAACCACCTCTTGTGCACGTGCGCCCTGTGCTGTGCTCTCACATGATGGTGCGCTGCACATACCATGGCAGCACGCACCCATAATTACCCTTTCTAACCACCTCTTGCCCCTTACATCATGTGTGTATATGGTGCACATACACACAAATTCACCCTCCTTATCACACTCCAAACAACCTCTTATCGTGAATACCCACAGGTCTGCTCGCGGGTGTTCATGGGCTCCTTCTTGAGCGCCTGCTCGCGGTACCGGAACCAGCTCTGCCCGTTGAAACTCTTGTCCACGTATGCGCGGTCCACCACTCTCCACGCCTCCAAAAACACGAGGTTCTCCTCCGTTAAAGCCCCTGTCAGGTGGATGAGGAGCGAAAATGAGAGCATGATAAGCCATTATGTAACATCAACGTGCATCCGCGGCCCCGGCTTTACAATGCCTCCAGAAATACAAGTTTTTTTCTCCGTTAAAGCCCTTGGACAGTGGGAGGATTCAAATGATGGGCAGCCATTATGTAACATCAACGTGCATCCGCGGCCCCGGCTTTACAATGCCTCCAGAAATACAAGTTTTTTTCTCCGTTAAAGCCCTTGGACAGTGGGAGGATTCAAATGATGGGCAGGATACGGCATCCCTGTATGCACAGATCATAGCTTCCAGAGTTTTATTAGGGGAAATACACAGCTGTTATCCACACTTTGAAGCACTCAAGAATCCCCTCTATAAGAGCATCAAATTGACGTGAATAACACGTTAGCATATGTGCTATTATAATCAACTGGATTACAGATGAATGTAATAACGGGAGGAAGACGACGACAGACGAGTGGCGACGGAAGAAGCGCAGAGGATAGATTCTTACTGGCCTGGCCCACGGGGAAGGACACGAGGCCCACCGCGAGTAGAACGACAGCTGCCATGGTGCCGATGAACTGCCGCCAGCCAATCTCGGAAGAACCTGCTCCGTTGTTTCCGCCTTTGCCATCGCTATCGCTATCGCCACTGCTGCTCCCGCTGCTGCTGCTGCGGCTGGTACTTGTGAGCGATCTGGCCAGAACGATAGAGTCTCTAACGAGGCTCCTAATGGCGGTGATATTACGGAAACGGGAAGGAAGGCTGGGGGCGGCCAGAGAAGTTTTGGAAGCGGCATTGTCATGGAACCCCTGGGAATGCCGAGCGATTAATCTCAAAGGGCACGTTTTGCCACTACTTCCACTGCTTAAAGAAGTAGTGGATGCATGGCGAGCCTCCCTCAGCCGCGCAAGGGAAGGAGAAATGGAGGCCTGAAAGCAGTTCCGTGGTTTGGGTGGCGAAAAGTTTCGCGCGGCCTGCGACGAACGGAGTGAAGAACGTGTACGATACTCCTGAGAAGCAGGACTGAGTCGCACTGACCATAACGCATCGGCGCGCAAATGAGTGCAGCACGCCATTAGTGAAGTCCCAAAAATCTTGAGGCAGAAATCGCTTAGACAGTGGCGCTCTTCTGTTGCCGCATTGGCTTTGCGGCAACAACCGCATGGCACCAGTAGTGAGGGATATCGCCTGATCACCCTCACGAGGAATCCCCATTTGTTCCCGCTGTACCTGTGGGTATGGCGACGTCATCGACAATCGCGGAAAGTTTCGCGCCCAATCGTAACCTGAATTTAGGCAAATCAGGCTTCACCACGATGCTACCACAACGGTAACCCCCCAGATTCGGCACATGGCTCTGCAGCTTGGTACGGGGGTTTCACACAGCTTGGGCCATTCGTCCATACACTTACACTCTCAACATGATTTACTATTATGAGTGCAATCTAGAGAGCGAGCAAGAATTGCACTATTGAAGCGCAACAGTACATTGAGCGAAGGAATGAGCAAATATTATATTGCGAAGCTATGGAGTGGTAAGGTAACACGAGAAACAGGGGTGTGCTACGGGCCTAGCGCCGAGGTTGGGTTGTGCCAAGGCGGAGGACCAACGCGCGGGTTACCAACCAAACCGTGAGGTTGGTGTCAGAATATTGTGTTGTGTAGGCTGTAGTGGGGTAGCCTATATGGGGTACAACCCAGTTTAGGGTTAGTACTACTACCAAACCCTTTCATAGTTCATCCATTCTTCTGCTGAATTCTGATATGGTATCAGAGTAGGTCCTGCTCTAGGACCATTCTCGTTAGGGCCCACCGATCGTACCCTGCCCGTAGCGCTACCCCACCCGTCGCGCTGCCTCGCCCTGCCCTGCCTGCGGCGCGTCTCACCTGCGCACGCCTCTGCCCCACGTCGCGCTGCTAGCGCGCGCCCTGCCCTGCGTCGCCTCGCCCCGCGCACGCGCTCCTCTGCCTGTCGCGCGGCCCGCGCACGCCCTGCCCTTCCCGCGGGCCCTGCCCTGCCCGCGTACCCTGCCCTACCCTGCCCGCGCGCCCGGCCCTGCCCTGCCCCGCGCACGCCCTGCCCTGCCCTGCGTTGCTCTTGCGCGCTGCTCCAGCCCGCCGCGTCGCCCGTACGCCCTGCCCTGGCCCGTCGCGTCGCCCGTGCGGGCTGCCCCAGCCCATCGCGTCGCTCGTGCGCGCTGCCCCGGCCCGCCGCGTCGCCCGTACGCCCTGCCCTGCCCGTCGCGTCGCCCGTGCGGGCTGCCCCAGCCCGTCGCGTCGCCCGTGCGGGCTGCCCCAGCCCGCCGCGTCGCCCGTACGCGCTGCCCTACCCTGCGTCGCGCCGCCCCGCGCACGCCCTGCCCTGCGTCGCGCTGCCCGCGCACGCCCTGCCCTGCAGCCCGCGCTCGCCCCTGCAGCCCGCGCTCGCCCCTGCAGCCCGCGCTCGCCCCTGCAGCCGCGCTCGCCCCTGCAGCCCGCGCTCGCCCCTACCACCGCGCTTGCCCCTACAACCCGCGCTCGCCCCTGCAGCCGCGCTCGCCCCTGCAGCCCGCGCTCGCCCCTGCAGCCCGCGCTCGCCCCTGCAGCCAGCGCTCGCCTCTGCAGCCGCGCTCGCCCCTACAGCCCGTGCGCGCCTCTGCAGCCGCACTCGCCACTGCAGCCCGCGCTAGCCCCTGCCGTCGCGCCGCCCTCTGCAACCCGCGCTCAGCTCCGCTGGCTGCGCACCGCCCTTCCGTGGCTGTACGCCGCCCTGCCCTACCCTACACGCTACCCTAGTACCTGCTCGCCGCCCTACTTTCTCTGAGTGCTGCCCTGCTGGTCGCACGCCTCCAAGGTTTGCCCGCTATGACTTCTCTTCGTGGTAGCGGTGGGATTGGTGGCGGCGGTGGTAGCAGCAGTGAGAGTGGTGGCAGCAACCGTAGTGGCAGTCGCGGTGGAGCTGTTCAGTGGGGAGTTTCTGGCGGTGGCCTGGTGCAGCTGCAGCGGCGTCCGCGCGAGACCCTTACGCCCCAGCAGCTTCGTGAGTGGTACGCTCAGCGTGGGGCGTCTCGGAGTACTGCTCGCTGCCCGTACGTCATTCGCACAGGTACTCGGGCTGGTCAGACTTGCGGGACACCTGGCCACACACAGTCCCGCCGCTTCGCCTATCCGAGCGACGCCTGGCGCGCAAAGTTTGGTGACGATGCTGAGCTCCCCCACTGGCTAGAGCTGCTTCGGCATTGAGTGGATAGATTTTCTCTAGACTTTGACGCTATCCTTACTGCCATGTCTGCTTTGACTGTCAGTACCGACGGGTGACTGTTACCTGTGTGTGCCGCCCGACCCAGGTATAGAGGCTGCTGCTCTAGGTGCTAGTGAGTCTGCTCTCTCTGGTACTGCGCCTGCTGAGGCCTTGCACACCTTCATGCTTGACTCAGGTGCTTCTCGCTGCTTCTTTCGCGACAGTACCACAGTCACACCACTCCCTAGACCCGTTGCAGTCTCACTGGCTGACCCCTCTGGGGGCCCAGTTCTTGCACGTTCCTCCACTGTTCTCCCGTGTCCGGCGGTTCCGTCCGGTTCACTGTCAGGTCTCCACCTCCCCTCGTTCTCGACGAACTTGGTGAGTAACGCCGTCCTTCAGGATGCAGGGGTTGATACCTTTACCCCTGGAGGCCAGCGTGTGGCGATCTGCACGTGCTCCCGGACGGGCCGCCACCTGGCCACGTTCACCCGTCGGCCTGGGTCGAGTCTGTACACACTGACTACTGCGCCTCCTCAGGTTGCTGCGTCTGGTCAGGTGGCCGCGTCAGGTCAGGTAGCTCCCCCCTGCGAGTGTCGTCACCTGTCGCACCAGACTCTCCTTTGGCACCACCGCCTTGGTCACCCCTCCCTGCCATGCCTTCGTGACATGCACTCCCGCCTTGTCACTGGAATTCCCAGGTCTCTTCCTTCCCTCCCACCCTCGCCTGCCCCGCCCTGCGTTCCTTGCGTCGAGGGGCGGCAGCGCGCCGCTCCTCACTCCTCGTTTCCCCCGACGACTGCTCCCCTGCAGACCCTCCACATGGACGTGTGGGGCCCAGCCCGCGTCCAGGGACAGGGCCGCGAGCGATACTTTCTGCTGGTTGTTGACGACTACTCGCGTTACACCACGGTCTTCCCCTTGCGCAGCAAGGGTGAGGTCCCTGCTGTTTTGATCCCTTGGATCCGCGCTGTACGTCTCCAGCTCCGCGAGCGGTTCCACACGGACCTTCCTGTCCTGCGTCTGCACTCTGACAGAGGTGGTGAGTTCTCCTCCGACCTCTTGCAGGACTTTTGTCAGGGGGAGGGCATCCTCCAGTCGTTCACGCTTCCGGCCTCTCCGCAGCAGAATGGGGTTGCTGAGCGCCGCATTGGCTTAGTCATGGAGGTCGCTCGTACCTCCATGATCCATGCGGCTGCTCCCCATTTTCTCAGGCCGTTTGCGGTCTGGTACGCTGCGCATCAGCTCAACCTCTGGCCCCGTGTCTCCTTACCGTCTCTTCCCCTACCGCACTGCCCCTCTCCCCCCCCCGCCGCTCTTCCTCACTCCAGGTCCCCCTCCGGTAGACCCCCTCCCCCCTCAGGGTCCTGCTCCTTCAGGTGTGTCTCAGGTAGACCCCCTTGGCTGAGCCTGTCGAGGTCACTGGTGACTAAGGTACTGCTGGGGGTGGTCCTGCTCGGGGTGCTGCGTCTGGGGGTGCTGAGCCTGTGGGTGCGGAGCCTGGGGGTGCTGAGCCTGGGGGTGCTGAGCCTGGGGGTGCTGAGCCTGGGGGTGCTGAGCCTGGGGATGATGAGCCTAGGGGTGCTGAGCCTGGAGGTACAGAGCCTGGAGGTGCTGCTTCTGGGAGTGCTGAGCCTGGTGGTGCGTCTGCTGGTGGTCTTCAGGGTGCCTCGCCGTAGCGGTCTCCCCAGCGTGAGCCCCTCTCACCACAGCAGCTGCGCGAGTGGTTTGCTCGGCGCACCCGCCTTCAGAGTCGCGCTGGAGCTGGAGGCACTGGAGCTAGAGGTCTTGGCGCTGGAGGTGCTGGCGCTGGAGGTACTAGCCTGGGGCCGCTGACGCTGGAGGTGCTGGAGCTGGAGGCGCTGGAGCTGGAGGCCCTGGAGCTGGAGGCGCTTACGCTGGCGATACTGGAGCTAGAGGTGCTAGAGGTACTGGCGTTGATAGACCTGGTCGTACTGGTGCTGGCGGCATTGTGGAGCCTCACTCACCGCGGCAGCTGCGCGAATGGTTTGCTCGGCGCACTCGCCTTCGGAGTCGCGCTGCTGGAGCTGGAGGCACTGGCGCTACAGGCGCTGGAGCTGCAGGAGCTGCAGCTGGAGGCACTGGAGCAGGAGACGCTGGAGCTGGAGGCGCTGGAGCTGGCGACACTGGAGCTGGAGGTGCTGGCGCTGGCGGCGCTAACGCTGGTGACGCTGGCGCTCGTGGCACTGGAGCTGGTGGTGCTGGAGCTGGAGGCGCTGGAGCTGACGACGCTGGAGCTGGAGGCCTTGCGCGGCAGCGACCGTTTTTCTTGCCGCCGCCGCAGCTGTCCGAGCTTCCGCCTCAGTCGGTCCTCCGTCAGGTTCT